AATTAATAAAAAAACATTAAAATAAACAAATTATCAATGTAAATATTTATTCAAGAATTCTTTAAAAAAACCTATTTTTTAATTCTCAAATTTTGTGAAGTAATTATATTTCACACTATTTTCCATTATTTAATTCAAAGAACATCTCACATAATAAAAACGCATTATTGTAGTGATTCAAAATTGTCTTGTAGGTAAATGTAGGATTTACTTTCTAAATGATCGTCGTTTTATTTTAGCTCATTCCAATTATTACAGTTTCCATTTGTACATTTTACACATAAATTGCTAAAGAAAATAGAGTTTTTTTTTTGTAAAACGGCTCTACGGAGTTCCCTATTTTCGAAACAGGTAGAGCCTTGAAATTTAATTTTTCATGTATTATTTAAAAATGTAACAAAATTCAATAATATGTTTTAAATTTTGATATTTGAAACTGTCGCTATCAAATATTGCCCTATCATGTTTTCCCTGGTTATTTAAGGTTTCTTTCATGAAATAAATGTTTTGCCATCTCAGCTTTCGGTCTATATTTTTTTATTGAACCAATGTACTGTGTAAAAATTACTATTAAATCTACATCTTGACCTATGTTGTATACATCCACAGCAAAATTTTAAATACCATTTTAAAGAGCTGTACTAATTATTGGACAATCAGTATCTTCGTCGACCATTTTAAATAAAAACCTGCATTTTGTAAAGCCGATTTTAATAATTTAATCTGTCTTTTGTTATTTTTATTGCTTAAAAATTCTTTTTTGGAATGCTGATTTACAAATGAAAACTTTAATAACTGGAATGAGCTAAAAACAAACGACGATCTTTTAGAAAGTGAATCCTACATTTACCTAAAAAACCATTTTTGAATCACAATAATATTGTTCGCGATTTTAATAAAGTAAGATGTTATTTGAATTAAATGGTCGAAAAATATGAACACATATAGTGTAAAATATAATTACTACCCAAAAATTTGGGTTTTAAAAAATGTGTTTTTTAAGAAATTCTTGAATAAATATAAACTATGTTTATTGATAATTTGTTCACTTTAATATATTTTATGAAGTTATACATTTATTAGTAATTTTAACCCCTAACAATTTAACATTTTACAAAAAAAATTTTCTCATAAAATGTTTAAACAAATCAGATAGTTTATTTAACTAATTACTAATTAAAAAGTTGCATATTCGTATTGTATGCTATGAGTTATTACAATTTAAAAGTAGAATTATCAAAATCCATTAAAAAGTTCCAGAGATACACTTTCTATATCATGCTAAGATTTGAGTACAATTTATGAACTCTTAAATTTTTATATGTTATATTTTCTCTACCCTTTTGTATGAAGTTGAAGCTTGGACACTTAAAAAATCCAACATTAAAAACCTAGAAGTATTCGAAATGTGGTGTTACCGACGCATTTTGAAATATCATGGATGGATCGCAAAAAAAACGAACAAGTTCTCGAACAACTAGGAAAACAATGCGAAGTTTTAAATTCCATAAAGATCAGGAAATTGGAATACTTGGGGCACATCATGAGAGGTGAAAAGTACGAACTATTAAGGAATATAATGCAGGGTAAAATCAAAGGTAGAAGAAGCGTATTAAGACGTAAAATCTCGTGGCTACGCAATCTCCGTGAGTGGTTTGGATGCAGTTCAATTGAACTATTCAGGCGAGTAACCAATAAAATTATAATTGCCAGAATGATTTCCAATCTCCGATAGGAGTGGAACTTGAAGAAGAAGAAATTTTTTGGCTCCAAAAGTTTTATTCTGAACAGACAAAATTTTAGCAGCGTTTTTGAAGCTCCACCAGTTATTGTGTTTAATTGCTACCATTCCAATTTTTTATATACAATAAATTTACTGTCTTTTGTTCAAAATGGCATTTTTAGGTTCGTTAATTATTACAAACAAATAGGTTATAAGCATTTAAAAAAAATTGCTAACTTTGGTCCATGTCAAGCTAGGACCAATTTTTTAAATTTAAAATGAGCATGAAAATGTCAGCTATTTAGCTAATAAAAAAATACTATTTTACAAGCAATGACAAAAAAGTGATTCTATTTGTTTATAAGCTAAAAAATACAGTAATTGTTCAATGAAATTTTGCGATGCTAAATTTTATTTTTGTTTATGTCTAATAATATATTTTATTCACTTATATATACTTCTATTCACTTATATAACAATTCCAATTTTGCAAAAACTATTAGACCGATTGACTTAAAATTTTAAGCAATTATTGAATACTAAAAACTACAACTTTTTACAAAGTAACCAAGTCGTAGGTTATTTTTTAAAAAAATTGTCGATTATTTAATAACTTATCAAATTTAACAGTTTCTTGCAATTTTCGTAACAAAAAATAAGTATTCTCAATTTTAAAAAACCGTCATTTTTAGGGTTTTTGTATACACTTCAAACTGCTTATTCCAAATTTTATATCAACTATCTTGATTTTGAAATAGAGCCAAAAAGTAGAAAATAGAAGTTTTTTGCACTTAATTGTTAATAACTTTCATTTTGCAGCGTAATTTTGGTTGCGAACTATTAGGTTTTATTATTGGATTCCAAAAACACCAGAAACACTAGGTGGCTATCTGTTACTTTGGATGGTCACAAAAACCTCCATTTCCCTAGTCTATTATACTAGGAAAGCAAACCTATAAAAGATTTCTATATAAGTAATAATTTGGATAATAACCAGTATTATTTCCACAGTTTAGCAACATTAAACTTGTACATAGTTTGTAAAAGAAAAATACTTTTTAACGAGATGTTTTAAAGTTTCAAAATTTTGTTAACTTAAGTAGGTTTTAAGTAGTGAAAGTTTTTAAAAGGTACCGAAATATATTGGACTACCTGGATTTTTTATCGAGATACTGATTTGAATTGTGAATTATGTAAACAAATAGACAATTATTTTAATCTATACTTTTTTAATAAATGATTACATCCTTTAATTAATATATTATTTTTTTGAAATAAATAAAAAGTACAAAAAACTATTTTTGTTTGATTTTTTTTATTTGCAAATACATTGTTTTCTTGTTTAAGTACCCACTATTTACGTTTCCTATAAGAAAATATACATTTTGTGGTAGGTGTCTTTTAAATAAGTGTAAACATTTAGTAATAATTAAAAACATAAAAGTTTATACCATTTCCAATATCCTTTTCCAATACTACCTCCTACGAAACATATTCTCTCTGTGTGGTGTCGAGAATACAACAAGATAATAAAATTAAACTTATTAAGTTATTAGGCACAGATCATGTGTATCGAATCCACCGTTGCCAACACTTCGGACGCCCTAAACGCGATAGAACTGATGATAATATACTCTGAAAAGTATACGCAGAGCTTGACCAGCGCGCTTTCGACGTCAAAGTCTCAAACTATAATATACATTCATCGTATATATTTTTACAAAAAACCATCATAAGGCGTCCCCGTAAAAATTTGTAAAGTGGTTCTGGATGACATTTTAGGCACTTTAAGCAAAGAAAAATTAGAGCGTCCATATACGGACGCCCTGATGTAGGCAGACGCTCTATTGACGGTAAAAAGACAATGTACGGACGCTCCGTTGATGGTAGGATGTATATATATATATATATATATATATATTATATATATATATATATATATATATATATATATATACTTCATTTGATAATACAAGACAAGATAGATGGAAAAAGAGGGCCAGGTTGAAGACATCATAGCTTAAAACCTGAGAAAATGGTTTAACAGATTCTCTGCATCACTTTTCTGAGCTGCCGTCAACAAAATTAGTATAGCCAATTTGATAGCAAATGCAGGATAATCAAGAAGGGCACAAAAAAAAGAAGAAATAAGTATATCTACAAATTATATTTTTTTAGAACATTTTGACATATGTAATGTTAGTTTTTTATGGATTGTTGAACCACTTAAATATAAATATGTATTTTATAATTAAGAGGATCTCTTAATAAAAAGAAATAGAGAGTAATCAAATTACTAACATACTGATAAAATGTTCAGTACTTATTTTAAATAAAAGATTTCTATTTAACATTTAAGATGGTTTTATTCGCAGATATTGTTTCTTAATGTCTAACACATTCAAAATAAGTTTTTGAGCATAATATTACTATAAATAAATCTAAAATTGAAATTTTATGTTGTAACACTCCTTAACAGTGTCAACTACTTACTGATTATTTTCCTTAGATGTGCAGATATTTATAAGTCATATAAGTAAACTTAAATATAGCTTTAAATTTATGTAAACTTGATTGACAACAAAATAAGTACATAAACACTTAACTTGAGACCAAAAATTTCTAAATTTTTATAGAAAACAATCACAAGCACTGCTCATACAAACCAACAAACTATAAGAACTTAAATCATACATAATAATTTCAACAGAGTTGAATTACACACATTAAAACATAGTTATAAATCGACAATTTATTCATCTTCAATATATTGCACAAAAAGACCAGGGACTGAATTGTGTGGGTCTTTTACAATAGAGCCAAAAAAATTAGTCCTTTGTTCAAATTCTAAGATATATTCGACTGCTGTAAATAAGTAAATCTCTAAAAAATGCAAGGTCAGCTAGTAAATGTATGGGGCTGGCAATATTTTTGGTAAATGCAGGTAATTTCTGTGGGAATGTGACCCTTTTCAAAAATTAAAATTGATTCTTGTCAAAGGTCGGCCATTTTGAGATTTGACCAGATACAATTTCCATTAACATACATTTTACCTAAGAAAAGGTAACAATAAAGTAGTTTTGAACTTTATATCTATAAATAAAATCGATGTTTGCCCAACAGATGTGCAAAAATTAAACAATAATATCGTATTACACCTTCCTTTAGTACACATTTTTTCTCTGATTTTAGATCACTATAAGCATTACAGTAGCACTTAAAGTTTAATTTAAAATATACTGTTGATTTTTAAAACGTTATAATAAAAATTACTTACCGTTTGATCGGTTTTTAATGTATAAAACTCAAAACAAATTACACTCCCTTTTCACAAATCTTGGCTCATGGCGTACTTGTAACTTATGAAGGGAACCGGGACATTGCTACCAACAACTATACAAGAAAGAACTATTTAGTTTAAAATAAAAAATGTAACACATAATTTTAATTTTTCTTTTACCAAAATACATAGAACACTATTAAAATGTAGACAATTTAAAAATATTTTAGGAAATATATAAATATAACAATTAAGTGTTATATATTGATTACAGTCATCTACATTCTTTTCCATTTGGAGATATTTCTTTTTCTTATGGTGCCTCTTGAATTGTTGTGACATTCAGGTGAAAAACCTAACCTAAAACGTAAATATTTGGAGAATTTCATATCATTTTTTAGTTTGTTGTGTCTGAAAAAATTTGTTAAAATGGGGAAAAGACAACACCAGAAGGATAAAATGTACATTACGTACACAGAATGGACTACCCTTTATGGTGGAAAAAAAGCTGGCCATACATCAAAAGAGGGAGAGAATTTTAGAAGGCTTCCATTTGACCACTGTTGTCTATCCCTACAGCCCTATGAGATTCCTTATTGCGATTTAGATGGAAATATTTTTGATTTAGAAGCACTAATTCCATTCTTAAAGAAATTTAAAATCAATCCTGTAAGTGGTAAACCTCTGGATTTCAAATCTTTAATACAGCTGAATTTTCACAGAAAAAGTGAGGGTGTCTTTGAATGTCCTGTCTTATTCAAACCATTTACCAAAAGTTCACATATTGCTGCTATTGCCACAACTGGAAATGTGTTCTTAATGGAGGCTATTGAGCAGTTGAATATTAAGAATCGCAATTGGAAGGATTTAATTACTGATCAACCATTTGAAAGGAAAGATATCATTGTACTTCAAGATCCTAACAATTTATCAAAATTTGATATTTCAAAATTTCATCACGTTAAACAAAATTTAAGGGTTGAAACAGAAGGTATGTACCTATCTCTAACTAGATGGTAGATTAATATTGTACTTAATTAAAGTAGTTGATACACTTTTTAGAACATTTACGGAAATTTGAATAATTTTGACAGTATAATTTTTGCAAAAAAATCATGAAAGATTGTTAGTTGTATGATCTGGTGATTAATGTGTACTGAAAATTATTGTCTTCTTTAATGAAACTGAACACTAAATTATACAAAATTGCAAATAAAAGTTTGTGGTTAATTCACAAAACTAGTGTAGACCTATAAAAAATCATTATTAGAGGAGGCTACGAATTTGAATTTTAAATATCAAATGTCTGCAATTTAAACCACCATTTTCTCTACATGACATGTCATTTTTTATAAATTACATTGGCAATGTAAATTTGGTTAGGCATATAATTTTATTTGACTTAACTAATTAAAAATGATATTCAATACATGACAAAACAAAAATTATCAAATATTACTTGCATAAATATGTAAAAGTAAACAAAAAGTAGCAGTAATTAATTCTAGAGTGCATGTTGTAAGAATAACATTGTGAACTAATTTTTGGCTAAATAGTATGCACATACTTTTTAACAAAAATAAAATTTTTGTTAAAAATTAATTACTATTAATTGAATTAAAAATATTTGTGGTCACTTTTTGACTGGCAACCTATTATCAATGGATTCTCCTAATTTTAAATGTATCTAAAAATGTGAGTTTGATTAACTACATTATGAATGTAGTGATCTTGCAGTGGGATCTTAGGCTGTGAGGGATGAGGACTAACCCTTATTGCAGAAACTCAATAAAATTATAACTTCATACATTTAATAGGTTATAAAACATTTACAGGTTACAAGTAAGGTTTTATGATACTTAAGATAATATTTATGATTTGTCAAGCCTTTTTGATTTATTTTAAGCCTTATAAAGCTTCTCTTTCCGTTTAAACATTGCAAAATATTTTATTGAATTTGTCATAATTTATTTATATAAAACTAATTTTTGTATTGCATTTATCTGGAATATTTTCCACAACCCTTAGAAATCATCCCTTATTACTAGAAAATTGAAAAATTCATTTACAATCACATTTATACAATTTGATAAATCATTTATATTAAGCCATTATCATTTTACTATGTGAAATTTATAAACTTTTTACACATTTTCATCCCTTAAAAACTACCCCTCATAGACAGGGATAAATGTAAAAAATTGGAAAATTAGAAAGGAATAATATAATGTTTTTCATGTTTCCAGTGTAATCTACAATGTTCTATGTTATATATAAATGAATAAAAAACAAAATCAGTTAACATATAAAATAATTTAAGGTTATTCATCCACACAATTACTATCAGTATTTTCGTCTTCTTCCCCTACTTTCTCTGTTATTGAAGCAGTATTTTGGCAATCATGATCAGAACATCCACTACAAGTTGAGTTGTGAAAAAGGTTAATTTGTAGGCAATTACATGATGCAACATATCTGTTTTTGCTGTTGCAAAATATCATTTGCAAGAGTTCTTGTGATGCTTGAGTTCATTGCAGTCCAATGCAATCCTTCAACTGTAGTCCTTCACCAATCAGTCATATCAATGTTTTTGTTCCCAATCCAAACTTGAATCTGATAATAGCATCTGTTTATATGATCATTCAGAGTATCCATTGTAGGAACAATGGATGATAATTTGATGGCATTGCTTTTAGTGTTTGTCTTAATGTCTCTAACAATAGTTAAGAAAAAAGGATTAGGTACTATATCCGGATGACATGGTGCTCATAGAGGACAACCAGCGAAAGATGTAACAACTAATAGGGGTATCTGTTGGTCTGATAAGTAACCTCTTAAATGAATGTGCGAGAATTGGCAGATGTAACAAGAACTAGTAAAGAGTGCACTAGTCATATTTTGAACGAAGTTTTGAATATTAAAAAATGATCCTGCCCATGGATGCCACATCTGCTGACTATTAACCAACAACATGATCGTGTGACTACTTCTCAGCAGTTTTTGGACCTTATGAAGCACAATCCGTCTGACTTCTAGAATCAAGTGATAATTACTTTAATTAGAACAATTAGAAACTAGAGCAGAAATATTGTATAAGCACAAGTGTGTTATTTCATAATACTTTTGCTACAAATCTAGTCTTGAAGACTCAGTGTTATTACAATAACATCCTCGTTGGCCTAATAACCGATGTTGTTATAAATATAGTAAACATATAGGCAATTGGGTTCAATTGATCAGTGTAGAATTATATTATTTCGTTAGTCAATAATAATAGTTCATTTATCCGAGATGTAATTATGGTTACTTGTAAGCTGTAATTAATATATTAAGTAATGTCATCGATAAACTACTCCGCATGTATATAAGTAACCAATAAACGAGAAACATCACAAGTTTAATATATAGTTATTACCCATTATTCAAGGCAAGATGTAGTTATATTAGAGAAGTACCGCCAATTGATTTATGCATTGGCGGTATGATGAGATGCAAGATACATTTACTAAGTTATCCCTGCATGTCATTATTCTTCCATTATAGTCAGCCAGGAAACAAAATTGCAGGTATGTAATGCAATCACACTTACTTCAAGCAAGACATGCATTATAAATAAAATACCATAAATACAGTAGAAATATAGCAACTGGGAAAATAGCTGAGAAGATGAAGGAACAAATAGAGAAAAAAGGAGCTAGTATGTTGACATAACTAGAATGGACTAGAGGCCAAAAGAAGGAAAGAAGAGAAGAAGGGGTAGGCCTAGGAAGGGATGGATTGAAGAAATCCAGATTAAGAGAGAGATTAGCACATTCAAACAGATGAAGGAAATAGCGGAAGGTGGGATATCGGAAGATGTGGAAAAAATAAAAACGATGTTCTCATAGAGCATAAAGAATGAAAGAAAAAAAAATGTCAATTTGACTTCTTATTTTCAAGTAACTCCCTTTTTTGTTGTTTCTAATAATTCTAGATAACAGGCTGCGTTTAGGTCTAGTAGATATATTGGAAGAACCAGTTGGCATTTGATTAGAGTTCTATAAAGATCTTACATACCCTTATAGAAATCATGTCGTTTATCCGTTCCTCCTTATGTCTGTGTGATACTTCTTGAAGGAAAAAATCCTAGTATTGCCAGTTATGTTACGATATGTTACGTTATGTTAAACCGTAGTTAAACTACGGTCCGGTACGGTAAAAAACAAAACTTGTATTTTTATATTATTTTTAGAGGAAATTGCAGATAAGTCTGATCCACAAGCCAGATTAAAGAAAATAAATCCAGAAACAAAGTATACCCTAGATGAACTAAATAAAGATTACAAACCACCAACGATAGAAGTGAACAAGAAAGCAAATACAGAGAAAGCTGACAAATTCAATGCAGCTCACTATTCTACAGGTGCGGTGGCTGCCAGCTTTACATCTACAACCATGGTTCCAAAACTCGAGGGTGAAGCAGCCATAATTCACGAAGATGAAGTTAGATATGAACGAGTAAAGAAAAAAGGTAAGAAAATGTTACCCATCATTTTTTTGTTAAATGTAAACAATTTGAAGTCAACATAGATGTTTTGTTGTTAAACATTCGGGTGATTATACTTAGATATTCTAAATTAACATTAATATATCTTAATAATGAAATAATCAGTTATTAAACAAATACCAAATGTATACTGCTTTTTACACAGATGCATCACAAGATTCTTATGGTGAAAGTGCGGCTTTTATTGTCCCACTGCAAGTACAACACACATTTAAATTGAGTAAAAAAACATCAATTTTTAAAGCAGAGGCTTTTGCGATTATGAAAGCTATAGACTTTATAATAGAGAGTAATACTACATACTCTTTTTCTGATTTTCGTTCAGTTTTAAATAGTCTTTAAATAGTTCAATTACATTTGCAAATCAACTCCGCATATATCAATCCTTACATATAAAAACATTGCTCTCTCAAATCAAAGAAACTAAAAAAATGATTTTTGTTTGTGTAAAAGCACACTCAGGTATCACATACAATGAACAAGTTAACAAAGCAGCTAAAGACAGCATATAGTCGAGAGAAGATGTTATTAACATTAGGATGAGAGAATAAATATAGCCAATGATTATTTATATTAAAAATGGTATAAATAATACAGATATTTTTGTTTGACAAAATGTACAAGATACACATTACTAGAACCTGACATTCAAAAACACTACTGATTTGCAAATTACAACTATTGAGAAGTTCCATAACAACTATATCGCTGATGAAGATTGGACATGCTTGCTATCCGGCCCATTTATACATGATAAATAGAATTGACAAAAATTCGAGAAGCCTCGGAATTGGACGGATACACAGATGACGAAACACGCAAGAAAAAGGACAAAGAGACCAAATAATCTATGAATTGATAATACATTAAAATTGTTAACGGCAGTCATGAAAGATAAAATCGAGGAAAAAGCGAACATGGCAGATGAACAACAAGGCTTCCGGAAGAACCGCAGCACAATAGAGGCAATTTTTATTATCAGACAAATAACAGAGAAGTCTATTGAATATGGAAAACCAGCATACATGTGCTTTGTAGATTTAAAAAGTGCTTTTGACAGGGTGAAGCGAAATGACACCTTAAATTTATTACAAGCTGAACAAATAGACCATAAGGAGAAAGACCATAAGATAATAAGGACAATTAATGAAATTAACAAGAACAACAAAATCAGAGTTATAATGCCAACAGGAGAAACAGAATGCATAGAACTAAAAGGAGGAATCCGCCAAGGAGACTCGCTCAGCCCATTGTTATACAATATGGTGATAAATCAAATAATTCACGAAGTAAGAAAACGACACGGATACCACATGGGAGCGCATAAAATCACGATACTATGCTATGCCGAGGATGCAGTACTAATTGATGATAACGATGACCTACAAAGGCAGCTCCACACCTTCAATATCACAGCAAACAAACTTAATATGAGAATATCAGTAGAAAAAACTAAATGTATAGTGATCAGTAAAGAGCCGCGTAGATGCAAACTAGAAATAGACGGCAAAATTGTAGAACAAGTAATGAAATTCAATTACCTAGGAGTAGAGATTACTAGTGACAGGGATATAAGAACAAAATGAAAGTATACAAGACAACAGTAAGACCAATCCTAACATATGCAGCGGAGACAAGGACCGATACAAGAAAGACGAAACAACAAATCAACAATATCGAAATGAAAGTATTAAGATCAATAGCGAGCATATCATTAAGAGACAGACAGACAAACAAACAGAAGTATACGCGAACAATGCAAAATTCAAAATATTAACAGGTGGATAATAACAAGAACATCTGTAAAAAAACAAACCGTATAGCAGAAGACCCGTTGGAAGGCCGCAAAAAGGTGGAAAGATAATGTACAGTCAACAACGACTGAAACAGAATAAGAGGCAGACAAACAGGAGTAATTCTAGTCGCACGAAGAAGAAGAAGAATAAGAAGACAAAAATCTTTGTGACATTGGCAAACAAACGGCAGATTTGAATTATATATATTTTTAATTGTAGCACATATACACATCAGCCAGACAACCTTAGAAAAATCTAAGAAGTTGAAACATTTACGGTCCCCATAATGTTATGAATCTTTTGGCACTAATATTTCAGTCTAAAATTAAATTGTAGATTTACTAGATTAGACTTGTAACCTTAAATGTCTTTCCCTTTGTTTATATAAATACCTTAACATGATCTACTCAGCATTTGCTTTAAAAAAATGCTCAGAATGACCCCTGGGCGAGAAAAGTGTGAACCTTGTCCTAATTCTAAAATGCTTATTATGATTAATCTTCCCCAAAAAAAATTACGTTAGAAAAAAAAAATGCTGTTATAATCATAACAAGTTGGTCGGTCAGGCTGAGGAACTTCACTTAAAATTAAAAACAAAAAAGCTGAACTTAATACTTTGTTTTTGGCTGCATGGACTAATCCTTAATCCAAAACAAAAAATATATAAACAATCATTAATAAATAATTATATCTACTAGTAAATGTAGGAACATTGAATTATTGTATATTTATATTGTATATTGTATATTATATTGTATTTATACCATTTGAATAATGGTTATTCTTTAATTGTATAGATAACACCTATACAAATAGGTATGTCAACTAATAGGAGACGTAAATATAACAAAATAGTTTACAACAGAGAACATTTTCCAATATTATTTCATATGTGCTGATGAAGAAAGCGGCAGAATAATTAATTTACAATAAATACCAACTCCTGAACATAGTTGTGTTGATTTTTGTGCATAGTTTTGACCTCCTCCTCCCATTTCACGGATTTTTCTTATATTTTATTGTCCTATTATGTTTCTCCTGTCTATTGCTCATTCTAATCATATAAAAGTATATCCCAGTACTCTCGAGAATACAAGACCTGATCGAAAGTTCCAAACCTAATGCTTAAAAATGTTATTTAAAAGTATTTAAAACTATTGCAATATATAAAGTGTACACATTTCCCAACGTCGTTTCCATTGCTGGTAGGATCCTGAGAACCGTTATATTGGAATTATGTTTAGCTCTCCAGCGATTTTAATGCAATGTTTTAAATGAAGTCCAACCTCTTCCCCTGACCTGCGTGACCTCAACACGCTTTAATTAGTACAAGCAGGAGATTCGGAAGAGAGCATAAATGAATTGAACCGAATGCAGAATGAATACAGGAGGTAAGAAGACCTAAGAGAAAAATGTGGAGTAATCTGCTGCAGGATCTCGAAAGGGATATCTGGGGCAGAGCTTCAACATTATTTGTACAGAATTGAAGGGGAAAAAGACACCCTACCCCCTGTCTGAGGAGGAGAAACTCCGTTTAATACAGGAACTTTTTCTTCAGGTAGAGGATAGGCGTGAAAGGGTTACTGGTTTTGTAGAGGGAACCTCTTACTGAGTTGGAAATCGGCGAGGCTGTTGGACGGATCAAGATCCGAAAGGCACCTGGCATAGATGGAGTCATGCCGGAGACAGTAAGACTACCTCTCTGGAACGGTGGTTAAGATTTTAGCCAGAACACAGTTAATTCGGCACTATCCTGAGTCTTCTGGCCTAGTATCCAACTCGGCCGAAATATAACAGGGTGTGTTTCTTCGTGGGGTAGGGGTTCAAATGAGTAGTGACGCGCAATACAAGGTGCTGCTTCCTGATAGCACCTCTAGCCACTCCTACTCAATTCCTATCCTCACCTCCACGAAGTGCAGCTTAGGCTGCACGGGTGAACCCCGGAGAACCTGAGCAACCCTGCTGGAGATTGGGTAACCAACCCCAGTGGAAGGCAGGGTCAGGGCTGACGAGGAAGGGAGAAATGGCCCTCCGAAAAGGGGGTTGGGCGATAGGCCAGTAACCTATCCTTGTAAAAAAGTACTACTACGAAACCTTCAGAAGGGCCTCGGAATGGACGGAAATCAAGACGACGACTTTGGCAACGGAATATGGAATTTTTGCTGGGAACGTGGAATGTCAGAACACTAAATAGACCAGGAGCACAGAGGATTCTTCTACACGAACTGAAGAGATATAAAATTGGAATCACTGCAGTACAGGAAACTAGATGGCTGGGAAAAGGTATCCGAGACACTAAAACCCATACTATTCTGTATAGCGGTAAAGATGAAGGAAATAAAGAACTCGGAGTAGCCTTTATCGTAGATAATACAATGAAGCACCTGATAACAGACTTTCAAGCCATCAATGAAAGAATCTGCAAGCTTAGGATAAAAACTCATTTCTTTAACGTAACCTTTATAAATGTACACTGCCCTACAAATGAACAGGAAGAAGACACTAAGGTAGCTTTTTATCAATATCTAGAACGAATCTATGACTCAATACCAGGAAACGACATTAAAATGGTGATAGGGGACACAAACGCCAAAATCGGAAAAGAAGAAGAGTACATAGGGGTAATAGGAAACATAGTCTGCATAGAGAGACAAATGAGAATGGTCAGTTTCTAATAGACTTCGCAGCTGGAAAGAATATGGTTATCAGTTCGACCTGCTTCCCACATCGGGACATACATAAGGGCACTTGGTATCACCTGACGGAAACACAGTCAATCAAATAGACCACGTACTGGTTGAAAGAAGAATGGCCACAAGTATATTAGATGTAAAAAGTAGGCGTGGAGCAAGCTGTGACTCCGACCATCTACTAGTACAGATACGGTTCAGATGTAAAATCAGTCGACAAGCAAAGGAAAAATATCCGAAACAAGAAAACTAAACTTAGATAACCTAAAAGTCTCTGAGGTACAAGAAAGATTTGAGAGAACAGTGAGTGAAAAATTACTAGAAGAAAACATAGAAGAATTCACAATAGAAAATCATTGGAACACCATAAGCACTATCATACTAAACACGGCACAAGAAGTTCTTGGAACAAACACTCAACGGAGAGAAGAACAGTGGTTCGATGAAGAATGCAAACAAGCTATTCACGAAAGAAATGAAGCACATAAGAATTTCATACTCAGACGAACTAGAGAGAGAAGGACAGAATTTGAGAATAAAAGACGAAGAGCTGATAAACTATGCAGACAGAAAAAGAGACGGTACGAAAACAACCGGATACTAAACATAGAGAGGGCGTTCAAGGAAAACGAAACACGCAGTGCATACCAACTTATCAAACATTTAAGACAGGGTTACAAACCGAAGACTAGCCTATGCAAAAATAAGAATGGGGAAATAATTAGCGATATGGACGAAATTAAGAGAACCTGGATGATGTATTTTAAGGAATTATTAAACGAAAGGGCACAAACATCACTACAACAGCGGCAGCAGCAGGTAGAACAGGAAGGTCAACAACAGGAGCTGTGGGAAGATGGAGAAGATAATGAATTGGCTAGACCTCCAACGCTAGAGGAGGTTCGAACAGCAATCCAAATGCAAAAAAGCCATAAAGCGCCGGGAATAGATAAGATACCGGCAGAACTGCTCAAGCAGGGAGGAACAAATTTGACAGAACATATGTACCAGCTTATACAAGAAATATGGAGAGAAGAAAAAATCCCACAACAATGGAAGAAAAGTATAATCTGCCCTATTCATAAAAAAGGAGACAAACTGTTATGCCAGAATTATAGAGGCATCTCTTTACTTTGTTCGGGATACAAAATACTCACAAACATTCTTAATCGAAGACTTCAACCCCTCACTGAAAAAATTATCGGGGAATATCAAGCAGGGTTCAGGCAAAATAGATCTACTATTGACCAACTATTTACAGTTAAACAAATACTAGCCAAAGCATGGGAATATGACATAGACGTCTACAATCTCTTTGTAGATTTCAAGCAAGCCTATGATTCAATAGATAGAACAATACTACCTAATATATTACAAGAATTTGGCATACCATCAAAATTAATAAGACTAGTGCAAATGACAATGACAGAAACAGAAGCACATGTATGTATTCAAGGACAGATCACTGATGCGTTTATGACAACGCAAGGACTGAAACAAGGTGACGGACTGGCTCCAACACTTTTTAATCTTGTTCTTGAATATGTAATTAGACGGTTGACGGTGAGCAGAAATAACATACTTACAAACAAATCTACCCAATTAGCAGCATACGCAGATGACATAAACATAATGAGCAGAACAAAGAGTTCAGAAGTTGTAGGGCTAACAATAAATACAAATAAAACAAAACTACTCATACAAACCAGATCAAATAGACAGGCGCAACAACAACAATTTATAGACGATATAGAATACGTGAATAGATTCACGCATTTAGGAATGGATCTGGTCGAAAATAATGAAGAAGAACCGGAAATAAATAGAAGGCTTATGCTGGCAAACAAAGCCTATTTCGCGATGGGCCACATATTCAAATCGCGAGACGTACACCGGAAAACAAAACTCCGGTATATAAAACAATAATCCGACCAATAGTAAGTTATGGGTGTGAAACATGGGTTATAACACAGAAATCTACCAATGCATTAGACGTGTTCGAATGAAAAATATTGCGTAGAATACTGGGTCCAATAAAGGAAAATAACAACTGGCGAATTAGATATAATAACGAAATATACGAACAATACACTGAACCAACACTAGCACAATACACTAGACTGCAGAGATTACGATGGGCAGGGCATGTGGCCCGCATGCATGAGAACAGAATCCCCAGAAAATTACTAAACGCAAGAATGCAAGGAAAAAGACCTGTTGGAAGACCAAAAAAGAGATGGGAAGACGAGGTAGATGAGGATGCCAAAAATCTCCTAAAAACGCGTTCATGGAAAAGAACAGCAGTAAATAGAGATGTTTGGAGAGGTTTAATGAAGGAGGCCAAGGCCCGGCTTGGGCTGTAGTGCCATTGGATGGATGGTGTTTCTTCGTGACGTTAGATGTCTAAAAAAAGATTTCCCACACCGTTGCCTGCCAGAATTCAATGGATACCTTCTTAGGCTCTTACTGGAATCTAGCAATACGGCAATTAAAAAAAACTGTAAAGAACCTGAAACAGTCAACCCTATCTTAACTTTGAGGCACTAGATCGCAGGCGGCAAACACTTTTTGAAGACTACCAAGTGACTCCAAACATATATAGTACAATCTACTAGACGTGTAGAAGGTTTCAGAATTGTAGAATGGGTATATATAAAAAATTTTAAATTTTACAAAAGCTTGATTCTATTCTCTAATTGTTTGATAGAAACTTTCACAATTTAAAAGACATCGTTTATACTAAACCTTTTTTTGAAATCAATATATTAGCAATATAGTAACTATTAACAATATTCAATGATAATTTTTTTACTGTTACTGGTACGTGCAAACTTCGTTACAATTTACTAAATCATTCTTTGGTAAAATTAAATCTCTTAACGTATCATTTTAGGATATGTCAGACTTGTCACAAACTTGGGTATGCTGAATTTAGAATTACACTGTGATATGGTTCCAAAAACGTGCGAAAATTTTATGAAACATTGCGAAAATGGATATTACAATGGGACTAAATTTCATCGATCCATAAGAAATTTTATGGTAAGAAAGACTTATTTTTTAAAACTCTAATTATGATTTAAAGAACATTTAATTTTCGTGTTAGTAGTTTCCAAGGTATAGGTTATGTAAGCTCGTCGTGACACACCCTGTATTGTCTTTAGCCACATCCCAATACTAACTGCAATCAAAGTTGAATAAAGAATTTAGTCTAATGATTCCTTCTTTGGTCATCCAATATATGGTCTTTGTTTCACGCTCTCCACTAGTATGTGTGAGATCAAATATTACTTCAATAGCAGTGGTTGGACATATTTTGATTGCACATACAATGCATACACAAGCTAAACTTTGAAGCTTCAGGAGATTGTTCTTCGTGTTGCTTAAACGGACTCTACTTCCTCATATCGTTGCCCCGTAAGTGATGATTGCTCAAACTATTGACGCATACATCAACCTCAAAATTTTTGGGTTAGATCCCTCGTTTTCCGGTACATTTTTACCAGATCTAAAATACCAGCGATTTATGGCATTGACAAATAATTTCCCTGAAGTTGCAGAAAATACGTTGCTTCGTTTACTGTTTGTGATTAGTCTGAATCCAATCTTCTGAAGCTCTTATTTTTAAGTAGTGAGGTGAAAGTAAAGACCTTGTTGGTGGCCTTTGACCTAGAATATTTTCAGTATATATTGCCAGTAGGAAATTAGTGCCTATTATCTTTTTCCATTTTCAGATATCTTCTACGATGGATCTTTTCAGGATACCACAGAAGGGTTTTGCTTCCATAAAACGAGTTCTAGCTGCTTCTTTAATGAGACTATTAGCAATCTCGTTTTTTTGTGGCTTTTGAGTAGCTTATCGGTTAGTTTTCAGTTCCAAGCTGTTGCGGATTCCTAGGCGAGTCTTTACATTATTTGCAACTCTATTATTGTCTTTTGTTGCCTTTAAGGAGATTATGTTCATTGTGATTGAATTTTCTTTTCCTATTTCATATGAAACAAGTTTTACTTACATGCTGTTGCCTCTATTGTTTTTAACTATTCTCATATATTGGTTTAGATTCAAGGAGGTGATCCCACAAACACAGGCAACGGTGGGAAATCAATATGGGGAAATAAATTCGAAGATGAAATCAGACCAAATTTATCGCATACAGGACGAGGAGTGTTATCTATGGCAAATTCTGGAAAAAATACTAATGGATCTCAGTTGTAAGTGAAATATTTAGACATAATTTATTGTTACGGTTCTGTAACCATAAAAGTTTGTAAATAAAATATAATATTAATTTTTAAAAATAAACCACGCCGCTGTTGATAAAGGAATTATTTCTGTTGTCCTCTCAATGGCGGTCTTTTTCTAAAGTGTAAAAATAAATAGTGTATTTCTTACGATATGAATTGAAGCGAGTTGGAAATGTCTGGCCAAAATATGTATAATTAGTTTTTGCAACGAGTACGGAAATACGGATGGGTTCGTCAAAGGTTAATAGGAGAGGATGTATGGTCATGGGGGAAAATGTAATACCGCGACTACGGTAGTTAAAAGTGCATCTAATAATCGTTAATATCAGTGCTACTATAACGAACTTGAATGGTGTGTCCGTGGATGTTGCTGTAACGAACTTAGCATGCACGTTATGTGTATAAACTTGAAGTGCCGGCTTGGAAAAGTGCAACTCTTGGAAAAGCGAGGTAAAATTTACTCAATATAAAATGCAGCATAGAGCATAGCTGAAATCTAGGCCAACGAATGATTCGACACCTAATAGGAGTCCAAAGAACACCCATAAGTAGACTATTGTGCTTTCTTTTTCTTAAAAAAACCTAGGTTTCGGTAACGCGCTAAGGCCTTAGCGCGTTAACTAACTCTTTTTTTATAAAAAATAAAAAAAATAAAAAAAACTTTTTTTTATAAAAAAAACTCATTGTGCCCAAGACTGAGATGTAGTGCATTAAAGTCCTTCCCCTTTTAAATTTAATGTTTGTTTCGTCCCTTCTAAGTGTTTTCTGTTTTAGTGTGTTTAAATTGTCCTTAATTGTTTGTATTCTAATATTTTATTTACTTGACTTTTCAATAATTTACTAATTGCCAATAGAACTTTATCAAAGTAATTTGATAACTACAAGTTGGAAAACAATTGCACACCCACACAATTTTTACATCTAAACTTATTCATTGTCATAAAACTGTCACCTTCATAAAACAATTAGTCAATAAATAACACACATTTCATAAATATATCTCTCGAATAAGTATAAATAACTTTTAATAACACAATGGTATATTACATCACTTTCATTTAACAAACAATCACACAAATATCTCTTCTTCATTGGATCAAATCTATCTCCTCAAGAACTTCCCGTTTACTGTCAAACAACTGCAATAATAGAATTGAGTTCTCCATTCAACAATACATAGTAGTTTCAACCATGTTCTACCATCCATCAATTAATAGAGTAACGGCATCATTTGTTTAACTTTGTATCGAGACCTGAGGATGAGGATGCTTTGCATATTGTAGAAAGCGAAACCGGTCGTCTGATAGTTAAATTAAATTGATTGTGAGTAAGTCTTATTTATTATTTCTTTACCTATTCATTTTGAAGAGTTAATTCTGTTCGATTTTATGCTTGGGTATTCTAGTTAGTGTAGTTAATCAGAGCTGGATAATTACTGGGATATATAATTATATAATAAATCGTTTTTGTTTTAGTTTTATAACTTACCGATCTTGTAAGCATTTAGATAACAAACACACTATCTTCGGCCGAGTGGTAGGAGGTATGGATACCCTTAATGAAATGGAGAAGATTGAAGTTGATAACAAGGATAGACCCATTGAAGATATAATCATTCTAAAAGCTCAGATTTTTGGTAATCCCTATGATGAAGCTGATGAACAGGTAAATATTCAATACAAACATTTTTAGAAAATCATAAAAGATAAAAAGCAATACTAGATACATACACTTCATCTAATTTATATAACGATGCACGTCATCGGTGTCATAGCCTGTGACGTCATATGATACCAACACGAAATATTTAGGGTTTAGGTGTGTTCTTTTTAGAATCACTTTACCGAGTACACTGGCATTACAGCCACTAGACATATTTTATTATATACGCGTAGAAATAATATTTAAAAATTTCTATTAATGTTAACTTAAAGAAAGACACAATAATATGTTTCATTTAATTTGTATAAATCCATTATAAAGAGTTTTTATCAAGAACATTTGTTCGGAACACACTGTAACTGTAATCGAACGAAGGTAAAATTTTGGCATAAATTGGTAACACTTATTTGACAGTTGCGGTGTTGACACTTTTTGTACTTTATTATTTTGAATTTTAAAGTGAATACCTCTTGTTTTATATTTTTACCTATTTAATAAAATCTGTTCTTTTTGGAACAAAATTAGTGTATTTTATTTAAAAAATGTCACGTAAGAATTTAAATAGTCGTTGTAAAGAGATGGTAATACTTTTGCAATAATTATGTGACCTATTTGATTTAAAATGGAGTCAGGATTTTTTTATACTTTGGCAACTATGTCAACTTCGATCTCTGACGTAGATAATGACGTAAGTCGTTATCTAAATTAGATGAAGTATACATAAATATATCACAGTGGGAGGGTATATTTATTAAATACATTAAATAATTTATTTATTGTGCTCCTAAATAGGTTGGATAGGCTGGTGGACTCACTGATAAATATATATATATATATATATATATATATATATATATATATATCCTCTAAAATAAAGTTGAGGTTAATTGGGTATACAGCTGATTAAAAGCCAAGTGCACTCTGTTTAACAGTTCATTATATTTCGCCAATTTTCATTGGCATCATCAGATGAAAGCTACAATTATTCAAAACATGGTAAAAATAAAAATAATAAAGTAAAAAAATACATTCAATAGTTGTTTGTTGTTTAAGTCTTACTTGATTGAGGTTGCGGCAATATGATTTATTTTAACAATTAACCTCAACTCCATTTATATATATATATATATATATATATATACACATTGTTATGATGTGTTGTTGTTGTATGAGCTATGAGTAAATTTGAATGATATATGTAAGTATAGGGTTTTTATCGCGGTTCTTGAAGAATTAGTTTCTAAGTACTTTTTTAAATTATCTTTATTATAACTATTATGAAACAAACCTATCTATCTAATATAAGCAATATCAATTTAAAACAATCTATCTAAAATTTGAAATTCTTACAATTATTAAATTATTAACAAAATTTGGTACCTTCTTTCACTGAACGCCTAAAGTTTTTCCAAAATTAAAGTTCTTATCACCACTCGATGTTTTCTTACTCAGCCTTGGTTTTCCAACTATTTTAATATGTTCCTTCTTAATTATTTCCACTCACCATATAAATGTATAAATTTAAATCCTTGTAATTTCCATATAATGTACTTTGAAATATACTATATCTTGTGGTTGTATTATTGAATGCTTATTTCAATGAATTAACTTCAAACTGTCACTATATTACTGTAGTAATAATTAATCTCCAACTGTAGTTGACTTATTTAACTGTACTTATTTTACTGTACTTCATTTAACTTAATCAATGCCTTCTTCTAGCTTCAAATTAATTCACTTAATAATCTTGTAACTGATTTAATTTCTTCTAACTCCACTAACTGATAAATAATCTTCTAGTAACTAAATTCTTGAATTATAACTTTACTGAATCACTTTACTGTAACTAATCATAATCTGTAACTAACTAACTAAATGATAACTGATAACTCATCATACTGACTCCTGAACTGATAACTCACTCCAAATTACATGGCTTTTTATATCTTTTTCATTGTTTCCAGAATATTCTAGCAATAAATAATGTTCGAATCATTCTATTTGTTCTATCTGAATATTCTGGAATGGTTTTTTGTCTGTGATGTATTATGCATATAGTCCCATTGACATTTCTAGAGCTTTCTATTTACAATTTACTTGACTTTAGGCTTTCCAGATCAGAACTACACTATTATATGTAACTTAAACATTTATATGAAATATATTTTTACTATTTTATATGTTTAATTTTATTTTAAATTAAAATTCTAAAAATAAATAACTTTTTGACTTTGACACTACAGTGTATGTTTGGTTGCATATGCACATGGCTGATTAAACATATTAAATATTAAATAAAATAAAAAAAAACTTCTTAAACTTAATTCTTATGCTAAATTCTTAAAAATACCCTCACATAATTACTTCTTAATAATATTATCTAGTATATAACTTATAAATTATGTCTTTAATTACTAATTAAATAAATTAACATTGTATATCTGGTTGTATATATTTCTATGTTAATTTATTGTATTTCTGTTCTCATTATAATATATATATATATATATATATATATATATATATATATCCTTTTCAAATTACAGTTCCAAGCGTCTGAACCTTGGGCTGTGGAAATTAACTTATCGTTGATCACCTGTGGCAGTTTATCTAGCCATAATGTTTAACGTTATTATTTATATATGAGGTTGAATGAAATTCTCCTGTTTGTTAGTTCTAGACTGATTAATGCGAGGAGTTGCTATTATAATACCAATTTCTTTCATTGGTTTTGTCTCTTACAAGCGGGTTGTCATTCAAACTCATTTTAACTTGTAAATTGACCGCCCAATTATTTGGGGTGGTACCTCCACCTTGTTGATCTGTCAAAAGATTTTTGAGCTCAAGGTTGGCTGTCTTTTTGCGGTTAGTTCGTTCTGGTTCATTTAACGCCATTTTTCCGCCGGCAGCTGTAAGGCTTTGATCGGTAACTTCATTTAAACTACTTTTTAAATATTTTTTTTTTTTATTAATATCACTTATAATGCTACCTAAAGTTAAAATCAAAGCTTAATAATTATTAAATAGTTGGAAGTATATCTATGATTTTCTTGGTTCTTTTTCACTACTTAAGATTAAATAATATTTCATTTACTTTAGACCGCATGGTCAGTTGCTGTGCTAATTTTTTATAAGTTGCTATATGTTGTTAGTTACTTGATTGTTTATACAATATCACCGTATAATGTCCATTTACTTGAGTTTTATTCACATATTTGTAAATAACTTTGACTGCTACATGTCTTTTTAAGGTAACAATTATAACATCGTTTCCATGATTGTGTGGTTCTCATATTGTACTTTTTAGATGAACTGATGATGCTTTCAGAATACGAAAGCGAAACGTCTTCAAAATAGATAAAGTAGCTTTATCAACTTTGTCTTTTATTTCTCCACCTTGAAACTGATATAAGAACCCACCACTCGTCTGAGTGATCCTTATATATATATATATATATATATATATATATATATATATATATATATATATATATATATATATATATATATATATATATATATATATATACATTCTTTTTAGAAAGGGCTTTAGTGACTATGTGGGTAATATATACGGATATCTTGGGTTTAGTAGTCAATATTGGCCTTCAAGTAAAACTCTTTTAATAACTATAAAAGAAACATTTCTACATATTATATCAAAATTTGCAATGAAGGTTTGCATAAACATAGACACTTTTTCTGTCAAACTAACCTAAAATAAATATAAAAAATAGAAGAGACATGTAAACCTTAGTAATAAGTTTTGACAGAACGAAAAAGAAAATCAAATTTAATATTGTCATTATGTTAATTAATTTTGCTAATTTTAAAACACAATCCTCACAAGGGTAAGCCTATTGAAGATATAACAACTTCATTTTTCTAATGTAAAAATTTTTTATGTTAATTTTTGGTACGTTTTGAAAAAGAGTACAATAAACTCGAAAGCTTAACAAACCTAAAAGAGTTTTACTTAAAGGCCAATATTGACTACTAAACCCAATATATCCGTATATATATATATATATATATATATATATATATATATATATAATACTTATTGTTGTTTATATAATGATACTTAAAATAAGTCAAAAATCTCTTCTATTTTGTAAATATTAATGATTATATGATGTAAAAAATTTTAGTTGTCCAAAGAAAGACAAGATGAATTGGACAGATTAAAAGAAGAAGAAGCTAAATCGAGAGCAAAAATAAATGCACAAAAGGAATTAAAAGTGTTCAGAACTGGCGTTGGAAAATATATTAATCCTAAAGGAAACAAAGGGTAAGTTTAGTGTAGTTGTCTCATTGTATCATTAAAATTTCCTTTGATATTTTTGTGGAGCAATTTATTTTATCTGACAATAAAACACTGAAAATTTTGTTTTCAACTCTTCAACAATAAATATAGCTTAAAACCTTTATTTAGAATGTGAAGAAAGATTTAACATTGGTCCTTAAAAGCATGAATATGGTCTTGAATATGAAGTGCGTACGTAGAATCTGTGTTTCTATTATTGAAAGCGCTTTTGTATTCTGCTATCCGTTTGTTAAAAGTTCTACCAGTTTGACTTTGTAAGTTTTTGAGCATTCGTTTATAACAACAACGTTCTAAACGTTTGGCATCCCTTTCCTCAGGTAGTTTAGCTTCCTCCGAGGATGTGTTAGTTGTTGCTCTTCAAACCTCAGTCTTCTAACATTAATTGGTCGCATTCCTCCTGTAATGATCCTTTCCCAATTTAACATGTTCCTTTTCTAACTTTTCTTTCTAATCTATTTTGTGTATTGTCAAAGTTTGCTGTATATGTCTTCTCTCTTCTTCCACTCCTTTTGAGCGCATAGGTCCTTCCAATTTCTCACTTTCAGGAATTGAATATGTCTCATAACCTAGTCTTTCCATCTCTCTCTAGTTCTTCCTCTCCTTCTTTCAGTTTTTGTTCAGCTCTCAGACTTTGCGTTTCTTTAGTAAAAGTAAAATGTAATGGCATATTTGAAGTTAAATTGAAGGCTACCGTAAATACGTATGTCTGACTATTTGGTCATCATCAGTACAGTGCAGAAAAGTTAGAAAAGAAGCATGTTAATAGGGAAATGATAATTTTGCCGTTAAAAATTTAATTTAAACGCAATTTTCTTCGACGTTGGATCTTAAGCGTACTATATAAATACACAATACATACACAATCGTTTTCTTGAAAAATATTTATGAGCACTGTCGGTATTTCATCCTGTTTTTTTAATGTTTTGTTTCGTTGAGTATCAAATGTCAATCGACTTGAAGCTGGCTGACATTCACTTCCATGTGAGTAATCTAGTATGTTCATGGTTCGATCCACTCTACAGTCATAAATTTTTCAAACGCAGCAGTATAAATTCCAAGGGGATCCGAGGGTTTAAGTTTGAATGTATGATGATGATGATGAGTAGTACGATGAGAGATATGGTCTCGCGGCTAGAAATCCGTGATATACATACATCAAATGTTAGATCTCCATTTTTATTCCCTGTATTCACCATAGATATAATTAAACTAATAGAGCAGATTCAAGAAGAATGTGATATTTTTAGAAAACTTTTCATTCTCATACAGTCTGATCTTACCATTTCTATTATACATTTAACAAATATTTCTAGAACCAATCCTTTCATAATACCAAAATCAACGCATTCAAATATTTATATTTGATATATAAGCTGGATGTAATATGATAATTTATTAGGGCCAATATGAGGCACAGTTTTAATTTTGGAATGAATTAAATTACGTTAAGTTAAGTAAGATTTTGATTAAGTTAATAAAAAATATATTTTTAGGACTGAATTAGAAAAGACAGAACCTAGCACGAAGAAGAAAAAAACTTGTAATACCTTTAACTTTAATAATTGGTAACATTGTATTAGTCTTATATTTATATAAGCAAGGTTTATAATATTTTGTATATAATATTTAAATAAATAAAAATGTACGTATATAATAATATAAATATCATTCATTCTTCATTAGTTTGCATTAATAGAATCATAAGTGAGTGTTTAAACAAAACTGGACGCGATATAAATGCAATTCATTGGTAGCAAATATATAGGGAAGGGGTAGAAGTGTGGTGTAACTATTTTGAACAACAGTATGCAAGTGATATAAAGCTATCAAAATGATTTTAAAATAGAATTGGATGTATTGTTGGAAGAAATTAAAGCTTTTATAAAGAAATCAGAAACTACGAGAAATAGAGAGACAAACATTTTCAGATATTTACGAGAATATTATTGCTAGTTTACACCAGGCCTCTAAGGAGACACTCGGGACACAGCAAAACAAAATTAGTAACAAAATATGGTGGAACGAAGAAATCGAATATAGGTAAAACAGAAAAAAGAACAGCATCTAAAATGGCTAAATACAAAAAATACTGAAGACCACCAAGCTTACAAAGAAACCGATAGACAACTACGAAAAATGATAAAACAAGAAAAGAATAAAACATGGGATCAGAAATGTCAAGAAATCAATACATACATCGGAGGGAAGCAATGTACAGAGGTATGGAATTTTATACAATCAGTAAAAAATACAGGAAAAGACAAAGCACACATACACATCATAAAACCAAGACAATGGAAAGATCACTATGAAAGCTTGCTGATAGAGACAAGACAAGAATACCTAGCGAACTCTCCAACACAGTCAGTACATATACAAGGAGAGGAAGCGAGGGTAGACATCGAAACAGTAAGGAAGGCTGTAATAACCCTAAAGAATGGTAAATCCGCTGGACCTGAGGGAATCTATGCCGAAATGCTTAAGAATGGAACTCATAAACTATTTGAAAACTTAACTTCTTTGATCAATTAGTGTCTAAATGGACACCCAGTACCAGAACAGTGGAGAACGGCATACATGTCCTCAATACACAAAAAGGGGGACAAAAGGAATTGTAATAATTATAGAGGCATATCGGTAACCAGCACCCTGAGCAGACTGTATGGACGAATTTTGAGAAATATAATCGAGGAAGAATATAAGCACAATGAAGAGGAAGAACAAAGCGGGTTCCGTGCAGGAAAATCGTGCACCGATAACGTATTTTATCTTAAACAAATAATAGAAAAAAGATCAGCTAAGAATCTAGAAACTCATATTACTTTTGTAGACCTGCAAAAAGCATATGACAACATCCCCTTAACAAAATTGTGGACAACGTTACAAATATCTAATATCAACCACACATTGATAAATGCTGTACAAGAACTATATAGAGACTCAAAGGCACAGATAAAAACAGGAAAATATCTAACGGAAGAATTCCTGGTTACAAAAGGCTTGCGACAGGGATGCTGTATCTCACCAAACTTATTCAAGATATATGTTGCAGCAGCATTGGAAAGATGGAAAAGAAAGGTGCATAGGATGGGTATAGAACTTAGCAATGAATGTATATATACACTTCAGTTTGCTGATGACCAGGTAGTACTAGCGACCGACATGGAAGATATGCAGTACATGCTTAGAAAACTGATAGAAGAATATAACGACTGGGGAATGAATATCAATACAACAAAAACGAAATATCTTTGTATTGGAAATGAGTCAGATAACATAGACCTCGAAAACGGACAACATATTTCCTGCTGTCAGAGCTATGACTACTTGGGTGTTGCCTTTGACAATACAGGAACTGATACACGGGAAGTAGAAAAACGAATCACTCAAGCAAAGAAAGTCTTAGGATGTCTCAATGGTATACTGTGAAGTAAAGAGATAACGAAAGGAAGAAAATTTAATATATATGAGACCACGATTAAAACTATTCTTCTTTATGGCGCTGAAACATGGAGAATTAGTGAAAAGAACAAAAAGCGAATAGAAGCAGTAGAGATGGATGCAATGAGAAGATCTTCAGGTATTTCCAGACGAGACCAAATCAGAAATGATGTAATAAAACAACGTATGGGAATAGAAGGAAATATAACTTAAGATATAGAGAAGAAACAATTAAGGTGGTATGGGCATGTTCAACGGATGCCAGCAACAAGACTCCCCAAAAAAGTAGTAGAATGGCAACCGATAGGTCGACGGAAAAGAGGAAGACCCAGATTAGAATGGCAACACGGCGTAAACAAGTCCATGAGCGAAAGAAATTTAACAAGATAGAATTTTCGTTATGATGTTTCTTTGATCTATAAACTCCTTTAATGTAATTAAGATATGATCAGATAACTTATATGTAATTAAGATATGATCAGTGGGGCGTTAATATTTAATTTCAATCGCTTGAAAAGTAAAAATATTTAATTTCCTGTATTTTATGTTCAGTAATAATATTGGATTTTACTGTATCAAAGGCAAATACAATGAATATAATATGTATATACAGGGCGGTTAAAAGAAGTGGGACGGAATATTTCAAATAATTGAAATTATTTGTCGACATCAAATGTTCATCAATGTCTTTGTAAGTCTCTATTTTGCGTAGAGTAAAAATTATACCAATGGTTTTGCATGCAGTTAACTTGGAAAATACTTGCCAAGTTGCTGATATGTCCAAATTTGAATAAAATACATCAAAGACTTTACTTTCTGCAGACACTGTATTAAATATAACCTTGAAACAAATTGGCACTAAATCACTTCCGAGTTTTCAACAAAACAAAATGTTTAAACACGTGTAGTCCAGTAATTAATACCAAAGCTATTGAGAGTATGCAGTCCAGTAATTAGACAAAAGGAACTTTATCATTTAACTAAAACACACCACAAAGTTTTAATTGAATTCTCGAAACACGTTTTTGTTTCTTCTTTTTAGTAAACGATTTGCCCTATTCACTGTCTGATATTTCACTAGCAGAGTCGTCACTATCTGAATTGTCTATCCGAATAATTAGAGGCCGGATGAAAATACTGAACGATTATATCTTCCGTATGTCTAATACAATTTTGCCATTGTTCTGCCTTTATTTGTTCTAGCGATTATTTCCATAAACCAAGAACGCTAGCGTTATCTTTTGTTTTGGATGCATGTTTATCATAAAAATTTTTGGCTATACCCCAAACTAACTCAATTGCATTATAGCGGCAATGGTAGGGCGGAAGTCGAAGAACTTCATGGCCATATTTAAGAGCCATTTGGTCAGTAACAAAGTTCTTTTGAATTTTGTGCTCTCCAAACCTTTGAAGTAAATCGACTTTTAAAAATATGTCACTCAAACTTTATTTCTTCTTTTGTCCAGCTACTTGAAGGAAATCTTTTTTCTACTCTTGAGTGGTAGGGTGCATTATCCAAGACTATTATGGATGGTCGCTCCAATTTTTTTAACAAATTTTCTTCAAACCATTCTTCAAAAATATTTGCATCCATATTTCCATGGTAATCACCTGTATTCTTTGTGGACGAAAAAATAAAACTAGCGTCAGGAATAAAACCTTCATCATTTCCAGCATGAAGTATAATGTAGCGTTTACCGGAACGACTAGAAGAATAACATTTCGTGGTGTCATCTTGTCAAGATGATTTTGACATATTTCCATTAGCGAAATTCCAAGTTTCATCTAAAAATACAACTTGCCTCGGACTATCAGACATTTTATTGTTCATGTATTTTCTTAAAAAATGCCACAATACTTGTCTATTATTTGTCTTTTTATATCGAAAACCTAAATGTTTCAACACTCTCCACAAACTTGTTAAACTAATATCACACAGTTCTTTGTCTTTTATTTTTTGCAACATAGCACTAACTGTTATATGTTCTTTGGCTTTATACATATTATATATACTATTTTTAATTGCAAGTTTAATTGACTAATGCAAATCTAAAGTTTTTGGATGTTGACGATTTCTCTTGCTTACTTTATTTATTTCATCCTCACTCATGTTATTAATTCTTCAGAATGTCCTCTCTGAGATACCGCAAGCATCGTATGTGCGTTTCTGAACTGCCATAACAGATGTCAATGGACCCATATTATTTTTTTTCAAAATTGAAATAACTTTCGACTTTTAGAACTAAACGCCGTTTTTCTGGAGATAACACTCTACCTTTCGACTGTATTTTATTTTCTTAAAAATTACTCATTTTGCTTTAAAGTACCGCTTCATTACACTGCTATAAAAAATAGGTACTTATATACAACTACTACACCCTAAAAAGGACGAGGGTTGTACAACAGACGAAACAATCGAACAGAAATTATTTAACAGCCAATGCTAAACAAGCATAAACACTGTATTGATTGTGATTGCAAAAACCGTTCGCATGTTTTAAATAAGGTTTTTGCTGATTATGTATTTTGTTAAATTATTAAAACACAAAAATACAACCCACGACCATCAATTCATTTTTAACGATAAACAGAAGAGAAATATGATGACGTTTGAATTTGATCTCCTTTGTCGATGACAGTGTCGTTAACAGAAAGATATTTTAAACAGCATGAATCATTTTTCAATGATTGTGTGGATTTAAGAAATAGATTACTAAACAAATTTTTTAAGTGTGTATAAAATCTTAACTGTCTTTTTTCCTGAGATTACAATTAGTATGACACATGGTATTTGCTCCTTATTTTTCAAATAATACGTTCTTGTAAATGCATAACTTTGACTATTGGGTAAACCTACATTATACGATACGTAATAAGAAATAAAAAAAAAATAAAATTGCAATAAAATTATAAACCAATAAACGATAACTTGTTGAGCAGTGGTGATTGAAACAACAGAGCAGTAAAATGTTATTCATAAAGGTAGTGTATATATCGCCGCTTATCTGGTCCGCTAGTAATAAAGTTACCAGCATTTAATTGCAAAGCGGTCTTCTTAGGTGAAAAATCCTTACCTATGGGGAATAACAAATGACCATCTAAAAGTGTCAGCTCCCATTGTTTAATAATATGCAGGGCGGGTTGTGAATTTTGACTGAAATGTCTATTCATCATGACTTTTGAACGGTAGCTTCGATGTGTCTTATGTTTTGG